CCTTAATCCATTATCAGTTCTATCTTAAAGTATTGCAAAAGCTACTAAATAATTGTCTTTCTCTATAAAATATACTCAAGTCAACAAGACTGAGTTTTCTAAAATGTCAGTATGATCATGTACTGCTACTCCAGGCTAATCCCTTCAATTTCTTTACATTGCTCTCAGAATCAAGTCCAACTGGTTAGCTTGGCTTAAAGGCTCACCTAATTTTACTCTTACCTACCTCTCCAGTTAATTTCTCCTTAAAATTTCATGCTCCATTCACAGTGGCCTTTGTCATCAAAATGTAATATTTTCTCATCTCTTGACTTTCAAACACATTCTGTTACTTCACACATATTCCCACCTGCTATGATCTAACTCATATTCATCTTTCAGCTCTCAGTATAAATAACAGACCTAATGAAGGTCTCTTACTGTTGGAGTAGATTAAGTCTTCAGGGCTACATAGCATGCTTAATAGTTTCCACAGCATGCTGTTGTAACAGTTATCACACTTAACAAGAGTTACATATTTAATGTCTAACCCAGTAGACTAAGAGCTATATGAGAATAGTAACCACATCACTCTTGTCACTGTTTTGTTCTAATACTTTGCATAATCCTGATCCATTGTAACTCAGTAAGCATTTATTGACAAACAGAAGGAAAGACAAAAGGAAAAAAGGGAGGGAAGAAGAAAGAAAGGAAAGAAAGAAATAATGCTCACGTAATCAGTTTTGGGTGAGTCGGAGGAATAGAAAAAGTCAGGAAATTTATTGAGTTAAGAAGATCCTCGAGACCTTAAAAAGTATTTACACATTCATTTCACATTTGTTTCTATCACAACTCTGTGAGAAAATATTATTATGCAATTTTTACAGTGAAGAAACTGAGACTCATAAAAGTGGTGTCATGGCTCATAGTTGTATCTTCCATTTGGAATCCCATTTTCTTAATTTTGTTCTTGTCCCATTTCCTCATAAACTAGCTGAAATACCACCTATCCCAAAAGATTCTCCTTTTCTCCCCTGCCATCCTAATGGTATCAGTTTCTTCCTCTTCTGTAATCCCACAGAACACTTTACATACCTCCCTATTGGTTCTTAGCACAAAGCTCCTATATCATACCTATTTATGTTTATGTTTCATTACAACCTCTAAAAAAATAAAATTGTAAAGATATAATCGATATCACATTCATGTTTATTATCCAAGGGCCTAGCACGAAGCTAAATGCTCAATGAAAATGTGTTACATGGCCTGGCTTGTGTGGCTTGGTGGTTGAGAGTCAACCCATTCACACCAAGAGGTCACTGGTTCGATTCCTGGTTGGGGCCCATGCCCAGGGTTGTAGGCTTGATCCCCAGTAGGAGGCGCGCAGGAGCAGCCAATCAAATGCTTTTCTCTCACATCAATGTTTCTATCTCTTTCTCCCTCTCCATTTTTCCCTCTCTAAAAATCAATGAAAATATATTTTTAAAAAATTTTAAATGAAAACAAAAGTGTTAAATGGAAGCCACCTCTAAAATTTAGTCCAGTCTCCTCAATCTACTATAATGAACAAATCAATCAGAGAAGGTATTTCAGATCTACCAAAGATCACACACTGCTTCCTGCTTCTTTGTGCCCTCTCCCTCTATCCTCCACGAGCATGGAGAATGGGAGGAACAGTACTTGAATCCTGACATCTCTGGCTTGATGTCACCACTTAGTAGTTGTGTAAATATCCTAGGCTTAGTTTCTGCATAGGTAAGAAAACAGATACCAGTTGTTTTGTGATGCCAGTTCTCAGCAATGCCTAGTAGCAATTTCAGCTTTTGACAATGTTAAAAATATTGAGTTATGGATGCAGAAACTTGATGCTACAGAATCTTAATAATAAACAATCTTTTAAAAGTCTGACATGTAAACAGAATTAGAGTGAACTAGAATAGGCAGAAAACTCATCTTTCAGCTTCCCCATTTTGCTGCTAGGTATTGTGAAGTTATCACCTCAAGGAAGAACAGCCTTGAGTGACCATATATTTGCATAATGGCTTCTTAGTTGCTTTTTTTGCTCATTTGCTTTCTTCAACTAATTGATTACCAGCCCTATGTTAAGGCCTGAAGGCATCCTTACTTGAGATCAGTCAAAACACCTTTGATAGGTAAAGAATAATGTTTATTTTTCCTTGAAAAGGTAAAGAAAGTATATTTTCCCATTAGGTATATATTTCATCCAGGAAATTTAGGGGTATTAAAATATATTTTTTTTATTGAATTTTAGAGAGAGAGGGAAGGAGAGAGAGAGAAACATAGATGTGAGAGCAAAACACACTGCCTCCTACACACAGGAGGGATCCAGCCCACAACCCGGGCATGTATCCTAAACTGGAATAAAACCAGTGACCTTTCAGTGCATGGGTTGATGCCCAAGCAACTGAGCCACACCAGTGAGGGAAAATTTAGGGTTTTTAATGTTTGTCATGAGGTAAGAAATTTTCCATGGTATATCTGAATATTAAAATAGACAATGCCTTTAGACCAGAAAAGTGTCAGCTACTTGTCCTTTTTTTTTTTTTTTTTAATTTTTAATTTTAATAATGGTTGCCTTGGTATTGGGGAACTTGGAATTGGAAGACAATAGAGAAGATATTATAACATTGGGATTTGTAATGTTAGTTGTCAGTCTTGAGTCAGGCCATTGCCTAGAATCCTAAATTGTGATGAACTCTTTTGTGTTAGGAAAATTTAATATTTTGAGAGCCAAAGAGTCACATACATGTCTTTATGCTCTTCTGGGAACATTTAGGATAATGACTACTGATACAGGTAATCAGCATAAGGAATGAAAAAAAGTCTTAGGCAGAAAGCACTAAAAGGGCAGAAAGAATCTCTAGGTCAAACTAGTAGCAAGGAGAGTAACAATTATAGCCTGCAGAATTGCTTAATAAAATTCTAAAATGAGAGCTCCATTTGGGAACAGATCTTTTCTGTTATATTCATACCATATCCCAAATTTCTAGAACAATGTGTGGCACATTACAGGTGCTCAACAGTCTTATTAAGTAAACAAATATCTAAACATCCAGCTTAGGGAAAGGTAACTATGAAAGAATGAGAAGAGCTTTGCATCCAAGGTCCAGGAATGGTAAAGCAAAAAAATAGGAGAGATTAAACACATCAACAACTTGATTTGCTTGGGTACCTTGCCTTACGTGCTTGATGAACTACAACAAATTCAGTTCTGAAGCTTGAAATTCCTCCAGAACATTAGAGAAGCCCAATGACTGGATAATGGCTGCTGCTGAGGGCTTGTCAACATTGGATAAGAGCACTAACTTAATTCTAAGGCATTATAATATAAATGCAAGGACTCATTAATATTTCAAAACCTTTTCAAGAGCCTTTACAGAGAGTACCCAAATGATAGTCCATGAGAAACAAACAAAATAACCAAACAAAAACAAAATAAAATGAAATAATTAAGGCTTAAGGATTTTCAAAAGCACAGAAAAAGAGAAGACTCCAGAACTGAACACCTGAGAAAACAGGAGTGTGACTATTGTTGCTGGTAAGATCCCAGCACAGAGCCTAGTAAAAGACATACAATGTCATTTTGAAGACACTCATGAGCTTATCAACAGTGATATCCTTTTGTTGGTAAGATTTGAAGTATGCATCAACACTTCTATCTGTTAAAGGAGACACGTGTGCTATTATTATTCACTCGGCTGACTTCAGAGACTGAAAGCAAAGGGCTACCCCTAGGCCAGATCCCACTGTCAAAAAGGAGTTAAGGAATAGCAGTATAGTTAGTTGACTTGATACATCAAAGCAAAAAACAGGCCCAGGAAGATATTTTTATTTTTTAATAAACAGTTTTCATTATCATCATCAAATGCCTCCATTTTTACAAACCTGAGCTTCTCAGCCCAGCATTTATTGAAAATTGCCAAGTATCGTTTATAGATAAAAGCACAATTCAATATTTATGAATTGCTAGTTTTCTATAAATATAGACATTTGGAGATGATCTTCTCACTAGTCATTAAATTTTGAACAGGGATCAAAGCTAGAATAATATTAACAATTCCTTGCATTTGTATAGTGTTTACATAATACTATTAATAATGGATGACATTTACTGAGCACTTAGCAAGTGCCAGGCACTTTACATGTAAATTATCATAATGAATTCAGTTCATTTCAACAAGCATTCAGTTAGCACCTACTGTGTGACAGATGAACAACACTTGGTTTTTGTCTTTAAAATCCCTTGCTTTTGGTGCACTCCATCAGTATTTGTTGAATGAGTAAATGAATGGATGGATAAACAAAATAATTGGTTTGAATGGCAATGTGGTTGTGATCAAAATAATGCAGGCTCCTCCCCCTACTATCTATCATCTTTTAAAAGTACTTAACCATTCCTAGCCTCAATTTCTTCATCTCTTTTGCAAAAATGTTGTGAGACTAGTAACAGCAAATGTAAAACATCTGACAAAGAGTGGGCTCTAAGTGAGATTAGTTATCATTATCATCCATGTCATCATTATTATTATTATAATTGAGCAATCCTGTCCAGTCCTCATCCTCACAATAGCAATGGGACAAATAGAACTTTAACATCTACAAAACCCAAGAAAAGCAAGGAAAATCCACTAGCATGTAGTCCTCCATATCCTCCGAGGTTACTAAACAGCATCTATGCTTAGGCTAAAACAAACAAACAACACAGAATCAACTTTAATTAAGTTTCCAAAGATACCTTCATAAAAGGCAAACAGGATAGGAAGTTAACCAAATTACAAACTGCAGCTTTCCTCAGAATGTTGGATAATCCAAACATGGGACCACGTTCTCTATCCCAACATTCTCCAGGTTAGCACCTGGAGCCTAACCAATGGCCATCCAGAAACTTATTTTATTCTTCTTAGTGTCAATGATTCTAAACCCTATCCATCAGATGAACTTGAGCTCTGGTCAAATTCTCCAACCAGAAATATGTCCCAATCAGTGCACTGGTCACTTACCATTTTGGTCTGCTAGTAGATTTCACCACAGGGGCCATACCATCTCTATAAAGACTCTTGGTTTTGCTGAAGTTAACAATGTTGAAAATGACTCTCTGAAAAAGAAAGAGGGAGAAGTTTATCAGAAGATTATGCTATGCAAGTTGCCACTTCCTGACAATTAGAACTGGAAACAATAAGCAGGGTTGAAGGAATCCATAAGGACAAGCTGACAACAGTATAATGAAAAAAAATGATGCCCATAGAAATTCAATATGTTTGCTCCAGCTTAGCATAGTAGTTAACAGCACAGACTCTGGAACCTGGGAGTTTTAATCTCACTTTACCACTCCCAAGTTATATGACCTTGCCAAACTAATAAATCTTCCTGTGTCTCAGTTTCCTCATCTGGAAAATGGGAATAATAAGGGTACCTAGGGTTACTGATGAGGACAAAATGTTAATATATGTACAGTGTTTGAAACCATACTTGGTACATTCTAAATGCTATGTAAATTTTGGCTATTATTATTCATTGTGCTGTCTCTCTAGGCTGACCTAGAATTTGCATGGAAATGAATGATATTATCATTATAGTGATAATATATACAGTAGTGCATTTGAAGTTCAAAAAACTAAAGATAATAACAGTGTAAAACTGAAGTTAAAAAAATTCTGCAACAGCTCAGCACCCTTTTGACTAGAACTTGAGGTCATATGTTCTCTTCGCACCTCTTTGTTATCCTTTGCTACAGGCTAGGGGTACTGGGCTCAACCCTAATTTTAGCATCGACTTATAGGGGCATAGATACTTGGGTAAGTCCCGTTCCTCTCTGGGTTTCACCTTTAAAGTGAGGGAGTGGGGCGTTCTAGATGACTAAAGTCCTTTCAGGAGGATAGTATATTTAAAAGAAATCAGAGCCTTTATTTTAATAAATAACTTTGTCATAACTGGGGAGAAGAGATTGGGAAAGAAAAGAATTGGGGTTAAAAGACACTAAATGGCCACCAAAATAGTCCAAATGACAGAGGATGAGCACTAGAGTAGTTGGAGAAAGGGCAAGCTTTCAAGAAGAGGTGACCATAGAGAAGCTTTTCTATCCAGAGGCAAAGAGATGGAAGCATAAAAATTCATGTACTGTTTCACTGAGCAAACATTTACTGTGTGTGGTGTTATACAATATCAAGTGCCAGGTATTTTGTACACTTTTTAAATGTTTTAAGTATTCTCCTATAACCATAATAAAAATATTAACATCTCCATTTCACAGATGTGGAAACAGAGGCTCAAATAATTTTACTAACTTGCTTAAAGTCATGTAATTAATAGATGGAGAGTTGATATTAAATCTGGGGGAATAAACACAAATAAGATGCCCATGATCCCTACCCTTGAGTTACTAAGGTTCCAAAATTCCACAACTCTAACCAAATCTGTTTTCCAAAATAAGGGTAAAAATAAATATAATAAAATATTTTCAAGTCTTTGAAATTTTGTTTTCTTGAAAAGAGAAAATCTTAACTATTTCCTCCAGCCTCATATTTAGGATTACCATAAAATGTTTTGTTCTATGAAATAAGCTCTTAGAAATAACTCATGTTTTTCTTTCTCCTCAGAGATCTAACCATTGACCCCATCTCCAGGCATTTCAGTTTCAGAGCTCCCTTCCATCATTAAAGTAAGTCATCAAGAACGTCCAAGGCTATTCCATTATTAATAACCCAGACCTGTTTGTTGTCAGTTCAATTACTTCTCCCAGGGTCTTGGCTACTGTCTGATTTAAGAAAATCAATATCAAGGGGGCACAAATGGCCTTTGAACCTTGCAGAGCTTAATCCTCACCTTTTTCTTCTGAGATTCCAGCTGTCAGATCCATTCTAGTGAACCTGGAAGCCATACTGCAATTTCAGGATCTAAATTAATGCTAAATGCAGGTGGGGCATCTAATACAGAAATAATGTGCATATGTAAAGCTTGAATAAATAAATGAGAAAATGGAACCTTTATTGATCATTAATACCTTACATTGTGCAAGGAAAATTTCGCAGGAGTTTTAAATATACCAGATCTACATCCATACACAAAAGTTGTTTATTTTAGCTCAAACTTCAGACATGAGGAAATTAAAGCTAATAAAGGCTAACTGGCTTGTCCTCTCCCCAACCCCCCAACATTCCCAGAACTATTAACTGGTACAGCTAGGATGTAAATATTAGTTGTCTGACTATAAAGATCATACTTTCTATGACACTACATGCAAAAGAACATTATCTCTTAACATTCCCCACCCATGCATTTTTAAAAATATGTTTTCCAGCCTATTTAGTAAGGCTGCATGTAATTGTGAGAGCTAAAGGTGTTTGAAAGTAGGCAATTAGGAAATCTTATCTTTCCATATTTTACACTCAATAATCAGTTATTTACTTAAAATGCATCACAAAAAAATGGAACCTATGAAATAATAGTAACAACTAGAATAATAGCAAACAACTTTTGAGCACTTGCTATATACCAAATATTTAATTCTTCTTCATTTTTCATGTACCAAAGAAAAAATGATAGAAATTTAAAAATATTTACAATTGGATAATCGATTCATCACTACATATCGGAGCTTGTGGCATGCAGAAAAAGTATATAAAAGAAAAAGAAAGAAAAGTTAAAATTTAGCCTTATGTGCATATACTAGAAAAGAAGAAAGACTGAAAAAGAAAGTGCTAACTTAAAAAGTTTAGAAAATAATTCATTTTACAGAATGCCAGAGACACAAACACTGGAAGTATTTGGTACCACCAAAACTTAGAGTGTCAGGCAGAGTAGGGCCAATGTCCTTATAAAAAGAAATTAAGTCCCCAGATTCTTTCCCTCACACCAAATTCCCAAGTAATGATGACTCTTCCTCCACTGTGATGGGAGACTAAATGTTCACTCTCTGGAGAGATTGAAGCACAGAGATTCTGGATTCAAATTTCAAAATATGGTAGTCAAGCTTATTATCTCTATAGTAAGGAGATCAGAGAATTCTGTGGGGAAACCAATTCCCAATCCAAGATAAAAGATTTTAAAAAATAAATATAGAAGACTCCCCAAATGGAATGGCTGGCTCTCCATTGGCATTTGGATCTTCCATTTTAAATGTTGTTGCCAGTCTACTAATGATGAAAGACATCCAACAGAAGCAGAGACCAATGCAACCAAGTAAAGATATAGGAGGGAAAAAAAGACTCAGGCAAAACAGGCAATCTGCAATAGATGCATTGAAAACAAACTTAACAGGAAAACAAAGACTATTAGTAGAAGGCAGAAGGCACTAAGGGTAGTTGTAGAAGAAAAAAAAATCATGTATCACAAGACTCATCTATGTTAATATTTACATATTCATAATAAAAAAATCCTGAATATTAATAATGCAAATAATGATATAAATATGGGTGGAAGAGAAGTACTTATATTAGTCACCAGAACTGTTGAAGAATTTAATCATCTTCACAATACAAAATTGACAAGTAATATCTAAAACTAAAATAGAGAATAATCGTACAGAATGTTTATTTAGAAATATAAAATATCAGAGGACACAATGAAAATATAAGTGATTGCCTGCTGCCTGTTTTGTAAACAGAAAACAAAGCCACGCTCATTCATTAGTATTGTCTATGGCTGCTTTTGTAACATAACAGCAGAGTTAAGTAGTTGTAACAGAGACCTGATTGCCTACAAAGCCTAAATTACTCCCTACTTTTTTCTTTACAGAAAAAGTTTGCTGACCCTTGATTTAAGAAAAAGGAATCAAAAGTGGAAGAGTAAGAAGAGGGCTATTTTCTTTTGGCCTTTGTAGTATTGAGTTTGAAATGTCATACTTTCATAAAAATGAAAAATTTAAGTGAAATGTTTAAAATAAGAAAAAGAGGCCCTGGCCTGGTAGCTTAGTTGGTTACAGCATCCTCCCAATAGGACAAGGCTGTGGGATGATCTCTGGCAAGGGCACGTACAAGAAGCGACTAATGAATGCATACATAAGTAGAGAAACAAATCTATGTCTCTGTCTCTGTCTCTCTCCCCCTTCCCTCCCTCCTTTCTTCTCTCTCTAAAAATTGACAAAAAAAGAAAAATATAAAATCAACCCAACTAATTTTATGAGGATATTATAAACTTGAAGCAAAAATAGGCATGAACACTAGAGAATAGAAAAGTGTAGCAAAACTCATAGACATAGACAACAGCATGGTGATTACCAGAGGAAAAGGGGGTGGTGGGAGGTAGAAAAGGGTAAAGGGGGATTAATGGTGATGGATGGACTTTGATTTGGGGATGAACACACAATACAATATACAGATGATGCATTATAGTATTGTATACCTGAAACCTATATAATTTTATTAACCAATGTTATCCCAATAAATTCAATTTAAAAAAGAGAAAGGTATAGCCCTGTCTGTTATACACATTTATTGAAAAACTCTAAATAAAAAACCAACCTCGGTTGCGGTTCAGTCCCCACCCTGGTCGGGGTAGTGCAGGAGGCAACCAATCGATGTGTCTCTCTTACATCGATGTTCCTCTCTCTCTCTCTCTCCCTCCCTCCCACTCTGACTGAAGTTAAAAGGAAAATTATTTCCCGATGAGGATTTAAAAAAAATTACCAATCCAAATCCAGCAGTAAATTCATACACACAAACACACACACACACTTTGTATATCAATACCTAGTAAAACATATCCTAGGAATGGAAAGATGATTCGAGAGCTATAATGTATGTCATCATATTAACAAATTAAGTGAGAATTACTAAATTATTAACAAATAGGTATAGTAAAAACATCTGATAAAATTCCACAGCCATTAAAAAATTTCATAATATGTGAGAGCTAAAAATAGAGAAGAGCTTCCTTTAATTTATAAAGCGCAGTTATTAAAAATTTACAGTAATCATGCCTAATGATAAAGTGTAAGAAATATTCCTTTTATAAGCCAGGAAACAACAAGGTTGCCACTTCTGTTTCTTCTATTCAACATCACAATGAAAATTCTAGTGCAATAAAATAAAAAGAGAGAGTAAAAATATATGGGTTAAAAAGAAAGATGTAAAACATTATTCATAGGTGATATTATTG